TACCATCAACAGGGGAAAAATAGTGAAAACTGAAGGAATCAAGATGCCCAATGGAAATAACTTCAAAAGTCTGGATGAAGAAGATTACTGCAAATACCTGGGGATCCTTCAGGGTGACACTACCAAGCACACTGAAGTCAAGAAAAAGGTTAGTAGTGAATACATCAGAAGAGTGAAGAAGATCTTAAAGTCCAAACTCAGTGGAAAAAATACCATTAAGGCGATTAACACCTGGGCAATTCCAGTCATTAGATATACAGCTGGAATAGTGGACTGGACTCAAGCTGAACTAAAAGTCCTAGACAGGAAGACCAGAAAAATAATAACAATAACTCATGCCCTTCATCCACGTAGTGACGTTGAGAGACTCTACTTACCAAGGAGCATAGGTGGGTGTGGAATGTTACAAGTACACCAGACAGTTGAAGAAGAAAAAAAGCACTGGAAGAATATCTGAAGGATAGTGAAGAAGATGCACTGAAACTAGTATACCATGAAGGCTTACTGAATACCAAAGAAACCAAACTGGCCTATAAGAAAGACCAAATGAAGAACAGAAAAGAGACATGGTAAGGTAAAGTATTACATGGTGCACTGAAACTAGTATACCATGAAGGCTTACTGAATACCAAAGAAACCAAACTGGCCTATAAGAAAGACCAAATGAAGAACAGAAAAGAGACATGGTAAGGTAAAGTATTACATGGCCAGTTCACAAAAAAACTAGCAGGCAAAGCAGATAACAACAAGAACTGGCAATGGCTAAGAGCAGGAAAGCTGAAGAAAAAGACAGAGGAGTTAATTCAAGACTAAGTCTTAAGAACAAGTGCATATGAAGCCATAACTGAGAAGACAGCAATAGATAGCAAATGCTGCCTCTACAAAGAAGTTGAAGAAACAGTGGACCACCTACTTAGCTGCTGCAAGAAGATTGCAGACTGACTACAAACAACAGCATGACAAAGTAGCAACAATGGTGCACTGGAATATCTGCAAGAAATACCATTTGCCTACAAGCAAGAACTGGTGGGACCACAAAACAGACAAATTAATAGAAAATGAAGAAGCTAAAGTGCTCTGGGACTTTAAAATTCAGACAGACAAGCACCAGAATAGAAGAGAAAGAACTGGAGAAAATCACAAGATACAAAGACCTGCAAACAGAAATAGAACGATTGTGGCAAAAGAAAGCAAAGATAGTACCAATAGTAATAGGTGCCTTGGGTGCAATCTGAAAACAACTGAAGCATCACTTGAACACCATCAACACTGACAAAATCACCACCAGTCAACTGAAAAAGGCAGCTTTACTTGGAACAGCTTATATCCTGCGACGATACCTTTAACTCCATTGAACAACATCTGCCTATCCCAGGTCCTTGGGAAGGACTCAGTAAGTGGATAAAAATGTCAAATACAGTCTAAACATCTGCCTGATTGTGTGACCAACCATAATTCAAAGAGAAGGGATGAAGGAAAGTCACAGAAAAGTGTAAGGACTGCCCTTAAAAGTATGTATACATGTGTGTGTGTGTGTGCGCACGTGTGTGTATAAATAATTAAAAGTTTTAAAGAGAACATAAAAACGAACACAAATTAATACAGAATAAAGAAAACAAAGAGAGAAAAGAAAAAAGACAAAAGTGCAGAAAGATAAAAAGAAATAGAAAGAAGCAGCTTCCGATTTCCTTTGTAGGAAATATGATTACAAAGTTAACTCTTACTCTATGATTAAAAACAAAAGCTCATTGTTTTCTATTATCTAATTTTTTTTCTAATCACTGAAACCACAAGTCATAAGTGCATTTTTTTCTGTTTCATGCAAAAAGTCTATACAGACTGGACTTAACAACCACAAAGGGACCAGAAAATTTGTTGCTAAGAGGCGTCACATGACCACACCTGATTTTATGATTTTTAGTGGTGGTCGTTAAGTGAATCACCATGGTCATTAAGTGAACCACACAGTTCCCTATTGATTTTGCTTGTTGGAAGCCAGCTGGAAAGGTCACAAATGGCAATTACATGACCCTTGGATGCTGCAACTGTCGTAAATACAGTACATGGCAGTTGCCAAGTGATGGTCCTAAGTGTCAGGACCGGTCATAAGTCACTTTTTTCAGTGCAGTCGTAACTTCAAACAGTCGCTAAACAAATGGTCTGAAGTTGAGGATTACCTGTAAGGGGTTTCCAGTCAGCCATAAATGTAGATATTGTCTTTTCTCTAATCAATTAAGTCAATTTAGCCATTCCTGCACGTTCTATCAGCTTTACCTGCCCTTTAAAGTTCTGAGAAGCTGTATGTTGCCCACTGACTATGCAACTTCGCATTAAACAAACATCAAGAGTCATCTATGGTTTGGTTGATATACTTGCATGAGGACTCAACAAATATTTTCTTTGATAAACCATAATTTCACTTGTCATATCATATAAGTTGGTTGTATATGTATCACTCTGCTATTTTGCTTGAAATAATTTATTACTAGCTGATATTTATGTTGTACAGTTGATTTGTAAATGGTTTTGACTGCTGGCAAGGTTATTTTGGGGCATGACCCAAGGGAAAAAATATTGTGCCCCTGCACTTTCTGACTCTATTAACTATTATAGCACAACAGTCTGATAGTAATGTCAGTTATATGTTATACTTGTGTTTCAGATAAAGGTAAATTTCTTTGGTATCATTAATTCCATCTTATATAATAAAACTTTCTTTAGAATGGGAGTGAGGAAAGTTGCTGGTCTGCTTTACAAATAAAAGTATTTTTGGCTATTACTGAATAGTATACAAACCTGTTTTTCATTAGACGGACTTCTCTTTTTCGTGCTGCTTCTTCTGCTGGTTGGGTGGGAAGAGCTGGGGAGGATGCCATGACGACACCAGGTGCAATAGTGCTTGTGGGTGCTGTGCGAATTTGGTAGGTCTGAACATCTCCTGAAGCAGCTAAGAAGCATTACAAAATGTTATATTTGACAGTACTGGAAGACAACTCTTTAAAAAAAGATATGAAGATCTGTTAATACTATCCATTCAGGTGGCAGTTCTCTTCTTCCATTACTGTAACTGGCATGGTTAACTGCAACTCTCATAGCAAAAATATAAAGTTTCTGCCAGTCTGTATTTATCTGTACTTATCTGCCGTTCTGTACTTCTGTACTTATAGAAATAACATGCAATTCTCAAGCATTCCTCAAGCATATAGAAATAACATGCAATTCTCAAGCACTTCTCTCTGCGTTGAAATTAGTTTTTATTGAACTATGATTAACAAGCATTATCAAGTAACTAAATTAACATAAATCCAAGATGCATAGAGAAAAAAAAGATATAGAAAATACAAACAAATCTACTAAGATGTGAATAGACAGGTACTATACATGTACAAATTTACCATATATGTAAACTATTACCATATTTTAGTCTATTGCTATTGTGGTAAACCATAAAATCCATCCAAATTTGATAAAATTGTGGTTCCTGCCTCTGATGCCTCATTATTTTAATTTTGTGATTTTTTTCTAATATGGCAATTGAAGAGACCTTGTTAATTCACATCTCAATTGTTATGTTATCTAGAGTTTTCCAATGTTGGGCAATTATTATTTTAGCTGTTAAATTAAATAGATAGTAAGTTCCTTATTTTTAAGCTTGAGGTTTGGCCCTATAAATAAATGCAGGAAGCCTAATTCTGGGGAGCATTCAATTTCTTTGTTTAGTGATGGTAGTTATCTCCCCAAAAATTTTACACCAAAAGGGTATAGCTTTATTGCATGACCGTCACAAATGGAAATATGAACTTTTTTTTGACAAGCTCTCCAACATTTGAAAGAATAATTTTTATATATGTGTGCCAATCTAACTGGAGTCAAGTGCCAGCAATGTATAATCTTCCACTGTAGTTCTTGCACTGAAACTGAGGTGAATCCACCCAGTTTCCATAATTTCTGCCAATCTGTCTTCTGTATGGAATTACCAAGATCAGTATCCCAAACTTCCTTTAAACCATGGGGTGAATCTCCTATTTCTAATTGCAATAATAACCTGTAGTTCAATAAAAACAAATTAAATAACATAATTAGTAAGATCCAATTTGGTCACTGTGGCAGTCAAATTATGTTTTAAATAATTCTTTGCTCCAAAGAATGCTGCTACCAATAAGGCTGAAGATAATTTTGGGAGAATCTGAAATCAAACTTTAAAGAAAAGATTAAAGAGATTATTATCTAAGAGTTTAGGGGGAGACAACATGTGGGCCTTGGGCTAGTTTCATGTAAACCCATTTCTAATTACAAACCTACTATGCAAGAAATCAATATAAATTGCTGGTATGAATTATCTGTCCCATTCTTGCAACTGTCTACTTCAAAGAGACAGAAAACTATCAGAAAAAGAA